AAAAATTTAAAAATAAAAAGAGAAAGTATATAAATAAAAAAATTATATATATATATATATATATATATATCTTATATATAACGTCATACTAAGTGTATTTTTTTATTAATATATACATATATTGATATAAAAATACACTTAGAGTAAAATTACACACGTGTGTGTGTGTGTGTATATATATATATATACACATAATAACTATATATTGTAGATATATTATTATAAAAAATAAATAATAATTAATTAAAAAATAAAAAGTCAAAATAATAAAAAACTATTTGTTAAAATTATATATATATGTAATTTTATTCTAACTGTAGTTTGATATTAATATATATATATATATATATATATATATATATTTATATCAAAATACACTTAGAATAAAATAATATATAATATATATATATATATCTTTGTATATATAAATAAATACAATTAATACACATATACATAATTACATAAATATACACGTAGACTTCTGCCTGTACTGAGTGCCTCGAGGGGTTGAAGCACTCACTTAAAAAAATAAATAAATAAAAATAATAATATATATTTTTTTTTAATAACCCCTCCCTCTCCCTCCCTATATACTTACCGATCGGCACCGTTCCTCCGCCGGTGATCGGTCTGCTTCTGAGGGGGACTTAGCCCAGACAGTCCCCCCTCTCCAATTTAGGACCCCCAGGGCCCATGTGACCAATATAAAAGAGCGGTCACATGGCCCCTATAGGTGTCCACAATGCTGCCAGCAGGGAGACTGTCTGAACTGACAGGCAGTCCCCCTGCTGGTGAAAAAGTAAAAAAAAAAGTTAATAAAAGTAAAAATAAATAAAAATAAAATTAATAAATGTAAAAAATAAATATATGTATGTATGTATGTATGTATATATATATATATATATATATATATATATTTTACATTTAATTTTATTTTTGTACAGGTTTTATGGATTTTTGCAAATTTACAGGGGTGAAATGTATATATTAATAAAATAATATATTTAGTATGATTATTTATATATATATATATATATATATATATACATATATATATATATATATATATATATATATATATAACCTGTACAGTGGGGGCACTGTTGTATTCAGGAGATGTTACTGAACAAATATTGGGGTGTTCTTTGTCAGTAGTACATAACAGGAACCGAGAATCCATGCCTAAATAACAATGTGAGAGAAAAATAACACAAAAAAATGTTTGAAAAAGACTGGTGGTAGAATTAGTGCATGAGAAGTGTTAAAACCACCATTTGAAATACCCTAGGGTGTCAACTTTTCAAAAATATATTGTTTGATGAGGGAAAATTACTTTGGCCGGCTTCAAAAATGTCCCAAATAGGACATGGGTGCATGATGACCAGCTGAGAAAATTCCAAGTTGGAAAACTGGAAGGCGCACCCTCCAAATAAGGTCTTTTAGTGCCCAGCGAACCTGACACACCTATACAAGGGGGGTATCACTATACTCAGGTGAGGATGCCGAACACATATTGGGGTGTTCTTTGGCAGTAACCCTTAAGGTACTACGTACATGTATTCTTAAATTGCTTTGTGTGTTAAAAAAAATCTCCAATTATTATTATTTTTTAATTTGGCATGGATTGGTGGTACAATGGTTGCATGAAAAGAGTCACAATACCCCAAGTTTAATACCTTAGGTTGTCTTCTTTTAAAAAATATATACATGTGAAGGGTTATTCAGGGATTCCTGACAGATATCAGTGTTATAATGTAACTTGTGTTAATTTTGAAAAAAAAATGGTTTGGAAAGAGCAAAGTGCTGCTTGTACTTATAGTCCTATAACTTTTCAAAAAAAGCTACGGACATGTTCACATTGGGCATTTCTAAACTCAGGACAAAATGTAAAAAATATTTAGCATGGGTGTTTTTTGGCGGTTGTAGATGCATTACAGATTTTGGGGGTCAAAGTTTAAAAATGTTTAAAAAAAATTTCATCAGATTTTATAATTTGTTTTATAGTAAATTACATGAATTGAAAGACAGTCTGGTCACTAAGGGGTTAAGTAATTTTATTGATTGCACTTTGGGGGACCTGCCTAACAACCCAGGCCAAAATTCCAGAGAATTTAATTTGCTGGCACTATATTTAACCCTGTAACTTTCCAAGACACCCTAAAACCTGTACATGGGGGGTACTGTTTCAAAACAGTAAAACATATCGCAGCGATGATATTGTCAGTGAAATTTACGTTTTAGTTTTATTTTTCACACACAAACAGCACTTTTATTGATGATATCATTGTTGTGATATGTTTTACTGTTTTGAAACACTAATATTTGTGTTCAGCTAAGTCTCCCAAGTATAACAGTACCAATCTGTGTGTGTGTGTGTGTGGATGGACTCAGCAGTCTATGTGTGTGTATGGACTTAGCAGTCTGTGTGTCTATGTATGTTGTGTATGGACTCAGCAGTATGTGTGTGTGTGGGCTCAGCAGTATGTGTGTGTGGATGGACTCAGCAGTCTGTGTGTGTATATGGACTTAGCAGTCTGTGTGTCTGTTTGTGTGTGTGGACTCAGCAGTCTGTGTGTCTGTGTGTGTATGGACTCAGCAGTCTGTGTGTGTGGATGGACTCAGCAGTATATGTGTGTGTATGGACTTAGCAGTCTGTGTGTCTGTTTGTGTGTGTATGGACTCAGCAGTCTGTGTGTGTGTATGGACTCAGCAGTCTGTGTGTCTGTGTGTGTGTATGGACTCAGCATTCTGTGTGTGTGTGTATGGACTCAGCATTCTGTGTGCCTGTGTGTGTGTATGGACTCAGCAGTGTATGTATAGTCTCAGCAGTCTATGTGTGTGTATGGACTCAGCAGTCTTTGTGTGTGTATGGACTCAGCAGTCTCTGTGTGTGTATGGACTTAGATGTGTGTCTGTTTGTGTCTGTGTGTGTGTGTGTGTGTGTGTGTGGACTCAGCAGTCTGTGTGTGTGTGTGTGTGTATGGACTCAGCAGTCTGTGTGTCTGTGTGTGTGTGTATGGACTCAGCACTCTGTGTGTGTGTATGGACTCAGCAGTCTGTTTGTCTGTGTGGATTCAGCAGCCTGCGTGTGTGTGTGTGTGTATGGACTCAGCAGTCTGTGTGTCTGTGTGTGTGTGTGTGTGTATATGGACTCAGCAGTCTATGTGTGTGTATGGACTCAGCAGTCTGTGTATCTCTGTGTGTGTGTGTGTGTGTGTGTGTGTGTATATGGACTGTGTATATGGATTGTGTATATGGATACAGTGCCAACTATGGCACTGTATCAAGGGAAATGTGTTTGTTTTTTAATAATCCCTGGTGGAAAATAATGAAAATAATCCCTCCACCAGGGATTATTAAAATATTAAAAAAACACATGGTGTCGGGGGTGGAGCTTAACATGCAGCAGGGGCGGGGTCAAACTGCAGCGAGGGTGGGGTTAAATGTGCCCCCCTACTTTTGTCCCTGGCCCACCATGTGCCCCCCATAAAAATGAATCCTAGAGACGCCACTGCTCAAGAGATGTTGCTAAGCACATATTGGGGTGTTCTTTGGCAGTAATCCTTAAAGTTCGCAGTACATGTATTTTTAAATTTCTATGTGTGACAAAAAAAAAAAAATACCAATTATTTATTAATTTATTTTTAAATTTGACATAGATTGGTGGTAAATGGTTTAATACCTTAGGTTGTCTTCTTTTAAATGGTTTGGAAATAGAAAATTGCTACTTATTGCCCTATAACTTTCCTAAAAAAAGCATGTTAACATTTATAAACTCAGGACAAATTTTAGAAACTATTTAGCATGGGTGTTTATTGGTGGTTGTAGATGCGTAACAGATTTTGGGGGTCAAAGTTAGAAAATGTGTGTGTTTTTTTTATACTTTTTTCATCATATTTTATTATTTTTTTATAGTAAATTATTTGATGTGATGAAAATAATGGTATCTCTAGAAACACAATTTAATGGCGAGAAAAACTATATATAATATGTGTGGGTACAGTAAATGAGTAAGAGGAAAATTACAGCTAAACACAAACAATGCTGAAAGTTAAAGTAGCTGACCAGATCTTCAGGAACAAGTGCTGTGTGGACT